TGAAATAGGGAACCTTGTTATATTGAAGGAAAATCCAGAAATAAGGTATGACAAGCAGAGCACTATTGAACCCAGAAGGCTTTTATATAAGCCTCAACTGGGCAGGGTATGAAGCCATGTACTGAATTCTAAATTAGTTACTGTCATCCCTCATATTCAAATCTTTCCATTTTGTACATATAGCTCACATACAACAAGTCAAAGCCTAAGTATGTTTACATGTCTTAGACCTTCAATCCCTCTTTCCCATGCTCTTTTTCATATATTTTACTCAAAGCTTTAAAAATGTCACCACAGGCAAAGTGTATCTATTAGCAATATTTTAATATCCTCATATTCAGAATTGTAACTCTATATCAGTATGAAAATGAGATACAATACACAAGATCAAAGTTTGCTTTCAAGCATTAGATCAGATGTGTAACATATCTGGCATTTGATTCTTTGCTTAATGTTGAGATACTTGAAAGTATTCTTTGTCTTTTTTTTAGGAGTGTCTTATAAATAATATCTTAGCTTGGGTTTGCCTTCTATTCCCGACAAGAAGGTCTCAGAAAGAGTACTTTAAAAATCTAAGTCCTCTAAGCTATTGTGCTATAGAGATAAACTAGAAATTTTTGGAAGTGCATTTGAATATAAATATGTTCCTGACATATCAGTAGAAGGATTTTTAACCACTAAAGGTGAGGAATTTATAGAATTCTTATTCTATCCAAAGCTTTCTCCTGTAGGTTCTTTTTCCTTATTTGAAGAGGTTCTTATAGAGAAGCTACTTGGAAGTAAATGGCTAAAACAGTAACCCTCTTGCACATTTCAAAAAATAAAGAAAGGCATTCAAATCTCCCCAACTACTTTCTTTGCCACTCTAATTTTTAGCTTAATATCGGTTTTACCCGATCATCTGGGAAAGTTAAGTGAATTTCAGGATAATTAAGAAGATCCCTATGACTTACAACCACTTACCAATTTACTTATTCACCAAGCATTACTTTCTGAGCTTCTGTAGGGCTTAACTTTGATATTCATGAACCTGTGTTTCTAAAGGTCATTTTTCCATCCCTAGAAACAACATATTTTATTTAAATAAGAAAACTGGGTTAAATATATGTATTATTTACAGTGACTTACTTGTGCTGAGAATCATAATGTTGCTTAATATTTCAATAATTTGTTGTTAAAGAGATAGATAAGCTGGCACAACTATTCAAGAAATCCTAATATAACTCTAGGACCAACTGACTGATGATGCAGTCAGTCTATAGGGATATATTATACATGTTATTTTGTATTTTATTTGTACCTGGTATTACACCTTCATCATGCTTTAGGATTTAGAATTCCAAACTTCCTGCTTCTCTGTAATGTGTACGGTGGTAGGACAGAATTCTTCTGTAACATTATTAATTACTCCATATGTGCCAAGAATAAAACTTTATTCACCATTCTGAATGCTAAATATGGGAAGAGAGGAAAAGTTAATTTAATTTTAATACCTTTGACAAATATTTTTCTGTCAACTACCTGATATGCAAAAATATTAAGCTGCTTTCCACTTTTGAAAGACAAACCTTGGCAGAAGGAATATTGCCCACCATTAAGCAAAATCCCTGCATTTTCAAAGCAAAACTAAACATATTTCCCTCCATTGAAGAGTAGTTTTTATTGCATAGTTGAATGAGTGCAACACTCTCAGTACTTTGAATATCATGATTCACAAAAATGACAAAGTGTTAGTATGCTTGTGGGAACTCTGATATTTCTAGAATTATTAAAAATATATATTTAACAAAAGAGATTAGTGGAGTATTCTGAAACTCGGATGAATAACTAATTGGACTTGTTGGAAATTGACTCCGCATAACAGATTTACCATTCAATGGCAAGGTTCAGTTTAAATTATAAACAACATACAGATTTCAGGTAAAGGAACATCTTTTATTTCACTAGATCTACTGTACTCTTCAGCTAAGTCAAAAACTGTCTTTTCATTAGCCAAAAAGTCCTATTTTGGGATCCAAGACACAGCACTATATATGTAATTGGGAACTTTAAAAAAAAAAGAATGCTTAAGGCTACACTTGAGAGAGGACATAGGAATTCTTATGGAGTTTTATTTCTTTCTTCTCTTCGGCTATAGCAGAACTTCAGATGTTGTTATTATTTATTTCATGGAGCAATCCTTAGGTTAATAGTTTACCTAAACTATATTTTCTTACAGATAATTCCTGTTGATTCAGATATGCTTTTTTTTGGGTACTGTCCAATGCTTCCACCATATTCTTTAGAATTCCATCTTTAACATGAAGCATGTTAGTATTACGCCCAAAGATTAGGAATCTTATTTTCAGGGACTGGCTTACTTGAAAGATCTCTTTGTGCTGATGGCTTACTTAATTTTAAGTTGATGGTTTACAATTTACTTAATGAAGCTTTGCTTTTGAATTTGTAGCTACTTGGAATAAAACAGGAAGGAATTGTAATGACAACACTGAAGCTTGGCATGGTTGATGAAATGGAAACACTGATTTTTCTGCTTGGAATATAATACAGTTTACAAGTGAAATATTGTCTTCTTGTATATTACAAGCTAGCACCCATGTGGGTGCTGGATTTCCATCATCTTCAACTGACATGAGCTATTATGAGAAGATTAGACCATCATCAGATTAGAGATGGTTGATGTACTTTCTTGAGAAAAAGAAGAGACTAGTCTGATGATTATTAAACAGATAACTTAGTGAGATTGTTGACTTCTAATTTTAGTTTTAGTTAGAAATGTATTACAAAGATGCAAGAGACAAAAACAGCATATTTTCTGAGGAGAGAACACTGATTATCTCTTGAGTTACCAAGGAGAACACTACATGTATTTCAAAATGTTTTCTATTTTAAGGATTGTTCCTTGTAGTAGTCTGACAGGATATATTTAGCAGCTGCAGAAGTTTTTCTTTTTCACTCCTCCTACGTGGAAAGTTCATACTATTTTATTTTATGCTAGTATTGTTTTAAATCACAGTATAAATTAACAAACTTCATGACAAGATGGCATCCCTCTTCATTTATGGTGTTTTGATGGAAGGAAGATAAGTAACAGAATCTCCCATATGTGAGAAGTAAAGGAGAGCCTGCTGTTTTAATTTTGTTCCCAGTGGTAGGCCAAACTTTGTTCTTTCAGCTCCAACCTTGATGACTGGTTTGATTATAATCTAGGAATTCAATCCTTTGCCTAGGAGTTGTAGCCCTTAATGGAATCTCTAGAAAGGGGAGATGTTTTCTGCAGGAATGAAGAGTAAATAAAATTATTAATACACAGTTGTGATTTATATATGGATTGGTTCCACTGCACATGTGGTAACACTGAAGGTTTTTCTTGGCTTTAAATACTATTACTTGATGGATCATTCAAAAGAATTTCATTTAAATTTATCAGATTTAAAAGAAGTCACTGCTTCAAAACATGTAAAAATCCAAATGCATAAAATATACACATGCATGATAAAGAATACAATAAATGGTTATGCTTTATTAAATTTACAATGTTACCATTGTTTCGTAGCACAAAACATAACATATGTAATATTGTGGTAATTAATGGGTCTCAAGAATTTCAAGTCAGAACTAGAACTAAATAGGAAAGTTACTGTGACAGGCCAATAAACTGGGAAAGATATTTTTGAGATTGATAAGTCTAACCCAACACAGAGAAATGCTCTTTTTCTCCTTGCTATGTCCTCAGTGACATAATATCTTGTCCCTTCTGCTTGTATTTTTAAATTGCTGCTTGCTGTTGTGGTGGATGGATAATTGTGTTTAAAATCTGGTTTTATTCTCTTAGTAATGCATGTAGGTATGTGTATTTAAAGAATAAAATCAGAATATTAGTTATTCCATTTAAATACCACTTTCCAGATTTCTCCATCATTGTTAGAGTATCTGATGCATTTGACTGTCAATCTAGCTCTGTGCTGAGATTAAAATAATTCTAACTATTTTTTTGAAGTTTCTTTTTGTTTTTGTTTTACTTGTGTTAGCATTCCTTCATCACTTTTGTGACTGCAATTTTTAGAAATTATTGAGTCACAGAAAATTCTTATTGAGCCTGGAATTCTTTATTAATTAAATGTTATGGTTTTCATTCAAGGTTCTTTCAATTGATGATAGAAGGCAGTATTTGAGCTTCAGGAAAATGTGATGATAATCCATAAAAATATGCTGTCAAATCTTAAAATTATAGGCTTTGAATTTAAAAAACAAAATAGATATTCTGGGATCAATTTAACTTTATAGCATTTTTAAAGCAGTAAAATATTTTTAATTAATTCTAGTAATTTATAATTGATGCTTGGCAAAGTCTATGTACTTCAGTTGTTATATACTATGTTATTATAAAAAGATAAATTCTGCAAACATATTTGGAAACTTGCAGATTGCTTGCAAAGTTTAGTAAATTGGCTTAAACAAAATCATAATTTTTTTTAAAAAAATTCATGATTGACCTATTAACATGAATACATATAGTAGTTAAATGTAAGGAAAGATCTTAGATAATGAGGGGCTTTCTCATTTATTTCTGTTCTTTCTTGTTTAATTATTTTAATCACTATAAACAGCATCTTATTTATAGAATGATTTCGACAGGACTGCTTCATACTAGAGAATAATGGTGACTAAAGCAATAAGCAAATTGATATTGAGCTGAAGATAAATTGTTAAGCTTAGAATTTTGCAGTAAGATATACAGTTGTAGATATTAAATTACTTACATAGTAGTATAGTTGGCTATGTTTTTGAATATGAATCTTATAACTGGGAAAGAAAAGCTGCTCAAGATTTATGACAGCTGTCATTCAATTTGGTCTTTTCCAAATTGCTTTGAAAGATGGGAATTATCTACTAATATATCTGCAAGACACTAGTATAAAGAAAGGTGTTAATGAAAATGGGTTTATGAGGTAGACTAGAGATACCTAATAATTTCTTTTTCTTGGTTTATCTTTCAGGTCTACGCACAACGAACTAGAAAAGAATAGGTGAGTCATTAATGAACAAACTGAACTGCAAACCTCATTAATATTTTAATTGTTAAAACATCTAAATCATCCTATGATAATTTTAAGACACTCAATTTAGTGTTTACTAGATAGATTGAGCTATGATTATCAACATCTACAAATAGCAACTGGCTAGAAAGATGAAAATTGTTGTCCCAAATATCTCCAAATCAGTTATTGGAAAATATTGTTTTATAAGTTTTGGAAACCTGAAATGCCACATCACACTACTACGTGATTGTTTAAAACACAGATCTTAAAATGTTGAACTGGTGTCCGTCCTCCTTAAAATGCAAAGAAGTGACCTATTTTTACAGCTAATCTGTATTCAGAGAAAATACTGTTTCTCCTTGTGCAAGCTGAAATCTGATTGAGTCAGTGTCCATACAGAAGGTTGCTAAGGTATCAGATTTCCAAATACTGGTACATATTAGCTAAAGAGCTTGTATGTTTGTTTTTGTATTGCATTCTATTCTATTCTCCCTCTCAGACCTGTCATAATATCTGCCCCATTACAGAAAACTTTCATTGACCAATGGACTCTCGTTTCCTGCTGTTCCTTGTTTTGAGGAACAGTCTTCTGGTAACATGCTTTAGGACAGACATCCTTGAGCCACACTATCGTAACACCTGTATTTTTGTTGCTTCACTAATTCTACCCTATGACTCATCACCTTTGCAACAGAATGGAAATACTATTGGGAGAGCAGGGAGTTAGTTCACACACATATCAGGTTAAAGCATTGCTTTCAGGATGCTATCATTGTATCAGGATCCTATTTATGTAGTTATCTTCAAGACTGGAGAGGAGATAGGTTGGTTGAATCAATAGTCTCAGACTCATTACTGGTTCTATGGAAAAGGAAATGTGTTTCATAGAAGAACAGATTATTTGGAATTTATTTAGAAGAGAAGACTGCAGGATTACCTTGATTTAGCATGGCAGATAAAACCAGACTGGAAAAGGAGAAGTTACATACCTGCATTCAGTCAAAAGGCCAGAATCCCTGCAGGGTTTTGTAGCTCTAGCTTTGTTTGGTTTGTTACTGATTTGCTGTTTGACAAAAAGTGTACTTTGTATATTTCCTGTGTATGTTTACTTCCTTTTTTCAGCTCTGTGGGCTGAGTGAGTTGTTCTTTTAACTCAGCCTTAAGATTATTATTGTTTTAAATTTAGTGTGTGTATAATAATGAGAGAAAACAGGGAATTAAGTCTAGTGTGATTTTCAGGGAAAACGGAATTTTGTGAAAAATTGAGGTAGTTTTGAAATGCAAAAAAGGCAAAGTACTGTAGGGCTAGGGAGAAAAATGGAGAAAGGAAATTACCAGTCATAAATTACTGGTGACAAAAAGTTGGGTCTTGGATAGAGAGTAAAAGTGATGCTAATGATCACCAGTAAGTTAAAAAAAATCACAAGAAAGATTTGAGTGAATACTTCCATATTTGCACACTGATATCATGTGAAGAAACTCAGGAAATTTAAACAAGACTTTTTTGAAATTTAAGTGCTATAAGGTATTCATAATAGATATTAGGAATATATGAGTAGGTAATATTAGCAAAATGATCTTTAGCAAATGATCTAAGATGGCCTTCTCCAACCTAGTGCCCTCTTGACGTGTTGGACTTCGCCTTATTCATCTACCAACATTACCATAAGCTAAATTGTAGGTAGAGTGCAGTATAATTCCTATCATGGGGAAGGTATTACATTGTAAAACACAGCATGGGTGAAAAAAGGGAAGTGTCAGAAACAGACTATGTGGAGTGCAAGATTTGTAGTATAATGAAGGCCTTAATATTTGTGCAGCTGTCATACTAGCACAGCTATAAAGATTAGCATGTTACCATTCTGTGTTTTAACTAGAGATGGGAAAAACATTTAAGATCTTTTTTTTAGAGGAGCATTAGGTTTGGTTTTGGCTACACTTCCCCCATGTCCCTCAATCAGTAGCTGATTTGAACACTTCTAAGATATGGTTTGTTGTAACTATTGAACTGTTGAACAAAGCAAACTGGTCTGCTTTCATAATGTTAAATAATCAAAATGAAGGTTATATATATATATTTTTCTGCTCTGATAGTGTTTTTGAATATAGCACCAAGGCCCTCTGCAAAATGTTTTCGGCACACCAGGACAAAAAGTGTAATCAAATTAAATAATACTATTACTCCCAAGTCAATTTTATAATTATTTACTTTTTTTCATATCAAAGTTTAGAATTTGATATCAACACTTGGTTTCTAGGAACCATGCTAATTTTTTAAGGACAGCCTATAGCCTTGGAGTGTTAGATTATTTACCTCTTTCATAAATATGATTTACCAAGTCCAATCTAAATCACCCATATTATGGTTTAGCTCACTGGTAAACTCAGACTGATTGGTTATACTAAGTTATACTATAAGTTATACTATAACTTTAGTTATATACTATATAACTATATAGTGTTTAGTTATATACTATATAACTATAGTTATATACTATAACTATAAGTGATACTATACATCATACTAAGGTTTAATAGTTTGCTGAGTAAATTATAATGCTGGGTTCCTAATTAGCTTCAAAATCAGTCACATAATATTATGGTGTAGGTTGATGAGTCAATTAGCATGTATATGTGGTGGAGCAAGAACAGTTGGAATGTTTTTCTTTGGTGTGGCTCCATTTCTCTTTGCAACCATGTAAATAGGGATAACTCTTCCTAGATCTTTCCAATCCCTTAAGTCGTTTTCTAATGAATAGCTTATTAGTGATAAGTAATGTTTTTGTTCTGTCCCCTTTCCCTTCTTTCTGAAGTTTCTTATGGAAATTTGTACCTTTTTTCAGAGAACTCTGATTTGGAATTTCAGCTGCCTAATAATTTATTATTGATTGCAACTGGTCAAAATTGAGTTCAAATGTCCATTCTAAAATTCAGAACGATCTTCCATCTTCTCACATTTTATTTTGGTTGAGTCTCTGCTTCTTCATGCTCGATTTACCCAAAGCTTTCAAAATGATATCAACCCATTTGCTGCGTTCTGCCCATTTGGATTGTAAGAGTATTGGCAAAAGTGGTCAATTTATTAAAGCTTAAACTTAGAGCATAGTTTACTGCATATTTTCTCAAGAATTTTCTCAAGAATAACTCCAAGAATTTTCACCAGTCTATATATGTGATAGAGCAAGATCAGTTCCTTGGCTGGAAATTCTGGGAGTTGAATCTGATGGAAGATGGTTAAAAGAATTTTGCTACTTTTAAAAAAGCCTTATTATTATATATTAAATATTTTAGAGGATCCAGTAGGATGTTACAGAAACAGGCAAAGAGTTAGCACTTGTGCATCGTTCCTCTGACACTTGTTTCAATGGAATGAGGCATATAAGCAGTGCTGTATTAAGAGGGAGGTGGCAAGGTTTTTCCTTTTTTTCTGGGCCCATTCTCCATCCATTTCTGAAAGTAACTTTTTATAGATACTCAGCTTACAAGCCAAAACATTAACATCGTTTTTTGAGAATCTATTGGTATATATTTACATTCATTTAGTGACCATTCAGTTACAACAGCACTGAAAAAAGTGATTTATGAGTTTTTCACACTTATGACCATTGCTGCATTCTGAGGGTCACATGATTAAAATTCATATTTATTCATATTCATATTTATGATGATTGCCATGTCTTGGGGTCATGTGACCATCTTTTGCAAACTTCTGACAAACAAAGCCAAAAGGGAAGCCAGATTCACTTAGCAATTGTGTTACTAATTTAACAACTGAGGTGATTCACAATAACTGTGGCAAGAAAGGTAATAAAATGGGGCAAAATTCACTTAAATGTCTCACTTAGCAACCAAACCTTTGGGCTCAATTGTAGTCTTAAGTTGAGGACTATATGTATATTTTGGAGGAATCTACCTCTGGACCTTTGGGAAAACAAAAGGATTCCTTCATCAGGTTTTCATTGCTTTCCAGCTGTAATATCTTTATGTCTGCCACTATATCCAAACTTAACTGTGGGGGGAAAAATCGCACCTAATGGCATTTTTCAGACAATTGTTTATTTGGGATTTTTTTAATGGGTGGGTGGGAAATAGAAGTAGAAATAACATTTTTTATAAGAGGCTCATTGTTATCTCCATTATTGACATAGTATGTAATGTTCAAATTGTCTATTAGAGTATTAGGTATCTGATTCAATCTGCTCCTCCCCTTATCTGTAAGTAGTTCCTTGTCTGATATGATATTTGAATTATATTTTAATTCTTTTAGATCGAAAGGATGTAGCCTTTATAAAATAAGGAGCTCAGATTCAGTCTTTTTTAGATTTGTAATCTGTAAGACTATCTCCAGAGCTGAGCCTTCTTCTGAATTATGCCTTAGCTTTCTTAATTCTTTATTGCAGTGTACAACCCTGACAATTCATTTCTGTTCTGTGTTTATTTTGAGAAACTCACTGTACCTTTTCTCCCCCCCATGGTCAAACCTTCAGTGTCTGTGTACTTTTCCTTCCAAGTGTGGCTTTTCTCCCCCCTATGCAAATATAGCATAGTGCTAATTAACATATATATATATATATATATATATATATATATATATATATATATATATATGCCAATTTATTATACCTTGGCTGAATAAAAATCTTAATTTTTATATCAGATTCTTATATTAAAAACACATTGAAGGGGTATACATAGTGTAAGTAAACCATTAATATTTCACAAATAAAATTATTACAATTTAAAAACATGAGAAATTCCCTGTAGCCCTTTTTCATGTGATCAAAATCTGTTTACCAATGCCTTCTGATTTCATCATTTGCTTAACCACACGGTTGTCTTATTAAATTAAGGAAAACAGTAATTGTGCTTGACTTTAACCAAAGTTTGCAGCTATTTTCTGTCTTACAAACTCAATGTGTACGTTTGTATCCCTGTTGCTTGCTCTTTGTAATTGTCCAGTCTTGTCTGTTTCCTATTGAGGAGATTTT